TGCTGGATAAACCAGGGACAGGTTTTCAGTTGAAGAGAGGATTGTTCAAAATATCTCACCTCTTCTACATGGATGATCTCAAGTTGCTTGCCCCAAATGCTCAGTGGCTGGCGGAGCTGCTGAAAATCACAAAGGATTTCAGTAGCTCCATCAGCATGGAGTTTGGGCTGGACAAGTGTGCGGTTATCCATGTGGATAGAGGTCGGATAAGTGATTCCACCCAAGTGGACTTACCGGATGGATCCACCATCCGTACCCTCTCCGAAACTGATACATACCGGTATCTGGGTATGTCACAGAATCTAGGTGTGCATGTGGCGGACGTGAAACAATCCGTCAAGGAGGCCTTTTTGGGATGCCTGACTAAGGTGCTTGAAAGCTACCTGTCAGGCGTCAACAAAGTCAGGGCCATTAACGGTTGGGTCATGCCAGTCCTAATGTACACCTTTGGCATACTCAGATGGACTCAGACCGAATTGGACGCCCTGAATCGGAAAGTCCGCACAACTTTGACACTCCACAGGATGCACCACCCGAGATCGTCAGTGATGAGGCTGTATATCCCGAGGAAGAGCGGCGGTCATGGGCTGCTCAGTGCGAAAACCCTGCACAACCGCGAGATATACAGTCTCCGTAATTACTTCCTGGCGAAATCGGAATCCAGTGAGTTGCATAGAGATGTCTAAGCATGTGATGTAGGACTAACCCCTCTCTCTTTGGCCACCGAGCAATGGCGAGAACCAGCAGTACTTAGCACCACTGACCGAGAGGCCGTCTGGAGGGAGAAGGAGTTGCACGGTAGGTTCTACAAGGCGTTACACGAGCGTCACGTGGATCCGAGAGCCTCCGCGCTTTGGCTGCGCTTCGGGGACCTCTTTGGGGAAACCGAAGGTTTTGTCTGTGCAATACCAGGTCATTATGACCCGAAACTACCGGAAGTATATCCTGAAGGATGGGACAGAGGACGTTTGTAGAGCCTGTCACCAGCCCGGTGAGTCACTCAGGCATATTACTTCCGGTTGTCCTGTACTGGCTAATACCGAGTATTTGCACAGACATGACCAAGCAGCCAAAATACTCCATCTCGAGCTAGCCTTCAAATACGGCCTCATAGGTGAAAAGGTGCCGTACTATAAGTATGTGCCGGAGCCAGTTCTTGAAAACGACCGCGCTCGATTGTACTGGGACCGGTCCGTCATTACGGACAGGACTGTTCCTGCGAACAAGCCTGATATCGTACTGATGGACCGGGCGGAATCTCGGGTGTTCTTAGTGGATGTCACCGTCCCATTCAATGAAAACCTCGTGAAAGCCGAATCAGATAAAAAACTTAAATATCTGAACCTGGCGCACGAGGTTACCGATATGTGGCGAGTGTCATCCACTGAGATCATCCCAGTCGTAGTGTCAACGAATGGCCTAGTCCCAACTTCTCTTCACGACCATCTGAAGAGGTTGGGACTCCGTGACGGACCAATGATTGCGAGGCTCCAGCGGGCGATCTTGCTCGATAACGCAAGGATCGTCCGCCGTTTATCTCTTTGTCGCCCTGACCCCCGGCCGTCTGGCCTCCTCTGCCGGGGGGAATCCTCCCACCCCTCGAATCGTCGTGGGGTCGGGATGAGTAAATTATAAATACAAGAATAATAATAATATAATCTTTATTGCACACATACAGACAGGAAAACAGAAAGGAATTACACACTAAAACAATACAAAGTACACAAAAGGCGGCCTTATTGCTAAACAGCAATCTCTTCCAGGCAACCTATAGAAGAGAATTATAAAAGGAAAGGGAAAATATGGGGTATTGGGTGCAATGGTCAGAAGGATATGATAAGATATATCTTTGCATATAAAAAAAAAAGTATAAGTAAATAGTATTAACATAGAGAAAGGAAATGAATAGGGAATTACAATACCGTTAAAAATTACTGAAGCTTTCAACTCGATCGCCGAAAGAATTAAGTGAGCGAGTATGCCTGACATCGTCCGGGAGAGAATTCCATAAATGCAAAGCATGTACAGAAAAGGAATAGGAGAAGAAATCGGAACTATGACGCGGGATGTCCAAAATGAGGTTGGATGAAGATCGCGAGGAACACAGTGACGAAGAAGAACGAAAAGAGAAACATTGTTTGAGATAGTGTGGAGAGGAAGGTAGGAAAAGTATAGAATATAGTAACTTTAAAGTGTGTAAGTCCCTGCGCCGGCGAATAGGGAGCCAAGATAATCTGGAACGAAAATTCGACACATGGTCAAATTTACGAAGGTTGAAAATGAATCGGATACAAATGTTCTGCAGACGCTCTAATTTGTTGAGAAGTTCCTCTGATAGATCCGTGTAGCAAACATCAGCGTAGTCTATGATCGGTAACAATAACGAATGAGCTAAAGAGACTTTAGTACTAGTAGGCAAAAAGTTGCGTAGTCTATTAAGTGAATAGTACGTGGCAATTACCTTTTTTCTAACGGCCTCTACTTGCGGCTTCCAGGAAAGATTTTGATCGAAGATGACGCCAAGGCTTCTAACAGTTTTTGAATAGGGCATTACAATACCGTTAAAAATTACTGAAGGTAACTCATGACTAACCCTAGAAGTGAAATGAGAACTGCCAATTAGAATCACTTGAGTTTTAGAGGGGTTCACAGTAAGACCTTATGAATCACTCCATTTACTAATGCGAGACAGGTCAGAGTTTATTACTGAGACTACCTCTGATAAGTGCGAAAAAGGCGCTTGAGTATAAATTTGAAGGTCATCTGCATATAAGTGATAGGAACAAGAAAGCAAATCAGTTATGGAATTAATAAATATAGAGAAGAGAAGAGGAGATAAGACGCCACCCTGAGGAACACCGGCTTTGATATCGCACCACGTAGAGACGGATTCGTCAATGCGGATCCTCTGCCGGCGTCCTAGCAGGTAACTTCGAAACCAGGCAATTGCAGCTGGAGATATGTTGAGAGAAGCCATTACACCGAGAAGGATGTCAAAATCAACCGTATTGAAGGCATTGCTAAAATCTAACAATGTCAACAACGTAAGCTGACGATTCTCCATACCACGTCGAATGTCATCAGTAATTTTCACCAATGCAGTAGTAGTGCTATGGCCAGTACGAAATCCAGATTGAAATGGATTAAGAAGGTGGTTATTAAGAAAAGCCAGTAACTGATGGTTTACAAGTTTTTCAAGGACTTTGGAGAGAAATGGGAGAATGGATATGGGACGGTATTGAGAAAAAGAGGATGGGTTTGACTTTTTTGGAAGAGGAATTAGGTTTGCATCTTTCCAAGATGAAGGAAAAACTCCAGATGAGATTGAAGTATTCAGAATCTTAGCTATTATCGGGGACAGGATATGAATTAGGGGTAGGATCATTTTGCGACTAATGGAATCACTACCCACTGCACTGGAATTGATCGACATGATAGTTCTCTCGACATCACAGTCCGCATATTGGCGAAGGAAAAATGGAGAATCAAGAGTTGGTAGACTTGAAAGACGATGTAATGTTTCAGCCTTACGATTGCCGTCAATAGGAGCAGAAGTAGAAAAAAAGCTATTAAGTTTGTTAATGTCGAGATTGGTATCGGAAATTTTATTGTGAGATTTTCCAACTCCAAGAGATTTTAGGAATTTCCACACTTTCCCAGAATCTTGATTATTCACGGATTCATGAATATAGCGTCTTTGTGCGTCCCTTATCACCGTATTGCACCGATTTCTAGCGCGATTGTATTTGAGCTCATTTTCACTTGAAGAGTCAGCCCTGAATTTCGCCTTGGCCCTATTCCTCCTTCGCATCAATCCCTTAATCTCATCCGTTAACCAAGGAGCCGGCAAGCATTTGATTTTAATAGGCCGTACTGGAGCATGTATATCGTACAGATCTGTCAGGTACGACACCTCAACAACATATCACACAATTACTCGATACTCCCAGCTTTTAAAAATATATTTAATGTCTTTCTTTGTTCTAGTTGCATAGGCAAACAAAATAACATATGTTTCATCAAGTTACGTTTTATTCGATTTTATTAGTCCAAGCATGTTAGGCAGATGGCCATTGTTTTTTGCAAAGTTCGAAACTTACATATCAATACAAATACTAAAATGTACAAATATAATATAAGTTGTTTATTGAGTTTTGAAAACTAACTTACTTTTATACATGAAAGAAAACCGGAAGGGTTGTCATGGAGAAATCAAGAAGTACTGTAGTGACATCTAGTTTGATTTAGGGAACTATTTCTTTTAATACTGTGTATAATAGGGAGGCCTATTATACACTATAGACTGACTTCCTCATTGTTTATTGTAAATACAATCTCTTTTACTCTTATTTTTTTTGTTGTAACTGCAACAAAAGGCCCCAACCAAATTTTTAGATTGTTTTGTGCCTAGGTTTTATAAGAAAATGATAAGAAATAGTAATAGTTAACAATACATATAATTAGATATCTTTAGACTTAGACTAGAATTTTGTTGACTGGACTTTCTCCACATAGATCATTGACTACATAAAATTAGTAGGTGTTAGCAATGCTTATTGTCATACGACAGAATTTTTCATGAGACAGACTTTAGACTCCTTACCAGAAAGTAAACAGTCAAACACGCGAGTTTTTTCACTCTCCTCACTGTATCGATACAAATACTTACTTCACGATACTACTCGTTACTCGCTTCTAAAGTATAGAAACCACAATACTGGTATCGAAATACAAGTATCGATTAAGTACCTAGTAGTTCATTCCTATCACAGAACAAAAGTACTCATTCCTATAGTTAGCAGAATTGTGGAAAACTATATAGTCTGTGATTGTGGATCGTGATTGACGCAAAGAAGTAGTCGTTTAAGTTGAGAAGAATAAATAAATTATTAGCCATTGATAACCTAAGAAAGTGGAAGCAAAGATCGTAATGTAAAGTGCAAACAGGAAGCAAATTAAGTTTCACTATAAAGATTGGTTTGTTTGCAATTTAATAACATTCTGGATTTGCGTTTGCTGGCCCTGACGTTGTTGACAAATAAAGGTAAAGTGATTTGTTTTACCTAGTCACTATATTCCGAACTTCATTGTAACAAGTCCTTGTAAAGAATAGAGATGGAGATGGAGATGGATTGTGGCGAAGAGAATGAGATTCTTCAAGAAAAACAAAATCAGAATACTGGAGGGCTTGAAGGTTGGACAAAATGTGACAAATTCGATCTACTACAGGCTCTTAAAATATATGGCTCACATCATTATGAAGAAATTCAAAAGATGATGCCCCATAAATCTATTAATGAAATAAAAACTATGATTGAATACTATCGGCAGAAAGCAAAGTGTCATCCTTCAATCACTGAAAAAACTAATGATAAAAAAATTATTCATAGTATATCAAAAGTGCCTTTGGCAATGTGGGCAAAGCTTCTTACAGAATCTTTGAATTTTAATGAACTACAAACTGAGACAGTTTCAGCGTTGCGTTTAATTGCTGATTTAGAAGAAATTCCTTCTCCTGTTTGTACTAATAATGTTGATTTTAAAGAAATATATCTTACAATAGCTAACGCAATGGAGGGTAAAACTCTACCAGACGATCCCACCATAAATTCTATTTTAGAAAAATGTATAATTGAAACTGCATATACCAGTAAGTCATTTATTAGAAATACTAGTCTCAGAAATGTTCTTGATTCTATTAATATATCGGAAAAGGAAATAATTTCATTTCCTAGACCAACAGATAACATAGAATTAGCGACACTGCGACATTTGGTAGCGCAGAGGAACTACAATCCTTTGAATATTTCTGAAGAACATCTTAAGCCATCACTACATGCCCAGCCTAAATAAGTTCTGTACTTCCAAAATGTTAATAAAATAAATAAGGTGACTTGATAAAAATTCTTTAATTTAATAGTTATTAAATCACATTTTCTGTATCCAGAATTACAATAATTAACTGTTGTAAACAATTTTAATCAGTAGTAAAGTATATACTTCCACAATACTTAATTCCCTCAGAAAAAAATAAATGTTTATGCATCATATAGCAAATTCATACACTATAACCACCACTATATACACTATACTGTGGGCCATAATGGATGATCATTGGTTATGCAGCTGCCCACACAATAAGCATCTCACATCTGTACAATATGTTTGTCAAAACAATTGACAAAGAATTTTGTGTTGCAAACTATATGAGTATTTCATAATCTTTGGATGCAAATTGCATTCCGTTTGCATCAAAACAATCAATGTTCTTTTAAAAGCTCCAATTCTAAGTCTCATATATATGTTTTGAACTTAATAGCTGAATCCATATTCAAAATGATTTCGAATTAAAGATTTATACATTACCTAAAAACAACAAGATTTTAGAATCTGCCCCCAGTAATGTTGATGCTAGACTTTAAAATGTTAAAAGCCTTTACCTTTTGTTGTGATATACTTACTTACAATATACTTCTTCCAGACTGTTCAGTTTTGCGATGACTATGGGAAGTTTTATAATAACAATAGCCAAACACTAAAGCAACGATCGCTAATCGTTTGAACTCGCCTACAATATAAAAATCAATTTCTGTATTTACCATCATGATATGACCGAACATATTTGAGATGGTTTGAAAAACCAATACAGTGGCGATTACAATCGATTGTCAGCAGTTATTTACGAGATCACGTAATTAACATATTCGTGATCGCCTGTGATTGTCACATGATCATCATCAGCCCTTTTTTACGTCCCTACTACATGGTTTCTTCCTTTTGGATAGTTAAGGAGGATGGAGCCGATTGGTATTAATGATTGCAGATGCAACAGGAACCAACGGCTTAACGTGCCTTCCGAAACACGGAGGAAGTAGAGCAACATTGCAAAGGTTGCTTTTCAACCGTATCGCTAGAATCGCCGACATAGCGCGCTAAACACTGCGTCGTCGAGTTGTTGCTGATGTTGTATTTCAGTAGTTATTAACCGGTGCTCCTAGGACTGGAAGCACCTCAAGTGGTCTACAGTGATCCATTACTGCACCATCATCATCATCAGCCCTTGTACGTCTCCACTGCAAGGGCTCAGGCTTTTCTTATGTTTGATTAAGGAGGATCCCACGTACCCCATAAAATTGTTTTTATAAGCTTCCCCTCGTGGCCACGGTTCCCTAGTAGATAACCGTGTAGTGGGTGGGTGAAAGAGTAACAAACATTTATACATATACCCTCAAAAATTTTGTATCTACATATATTATCTATATCTATACTAATAATATTATGAAGAGGAAAACTTTGTTTGTTCGTAATGAATAGGCTTTAAAACTACTGGACCGATTTTAAAAATTCTTTCACCATTTGAAAGCTACATTATCCACGAGTAACATAGGCTATATTTTATTTTGGAAAAAATAGGGTTCCGTAAGATTTTTGGGTTTTTCGGATACAAGATGTAAAAAATCAACCAGAAAAGTTACTTATTTTGCTTACGCTGCCTAAACTATAAAAGATAGAACCATAAAATGTTCTAAATAATTGAAGATCATATAAATGTCTACAAAAAAGTCCATGACGCATTATACCTATCTATGTCGAGTAAGGCACATCAACCATTTTTATTTAAAAACCTTGAATTTTTTTGGACTACATTTAAACGCGTTTATGTTACTCATGCTATTAATCCTTATCAAAATAAATTATTTCATTTCTATGAAAAATTTATGTAGATAATATTTGGTCTTTGAATGATTAAAATAGGACGTTTGGTTTTGAAGTTATGGCGAAATTAATATACATATTACGATTTCTACTGCTCGGCCCGTTGAGAAGTGGGCGTCACCAAGGCGGTTGTGCGCGTGCGTACCAGCGTACCACGCGGGTGAAGCGGCTAGCGGAAAGTTAGAAAATAAATAAGAAACAAAAGTGGGCCAAAGTACAGACCCGGTTCTACGATGTATTTGTTCCTGAGAAAAAACTTCAGTACCTATAAATACAAATAAGTTGCAGATAATACATAGTTATTAACTTATCTCTAGATCATTAAAGCTCTATACCTCTACAGTGATTTTTGAGTAAAATGGGCAATATTGGCGTTTTTGATATCGGAATCAAAAATATATTAATGTGCTAAATGCTTATGCTACGCTAGTTCGTAGCGGCTTCGTTTTAACTTTTTTTTTCATGTTACTGTGCAGTTTTGGGTTTATCTAATTAAAAAGTTAGGCTCAATTAATAAAATGTAGCCGCTATGAACTATGACTATGGATATTCTGTAGTATTAAACGTTAGTCTGCACTATTCAATAAGTCAAAGTATATATGAATTATTGATTCAAAGATGAAGAACGCTAAAATTGTCAATTTTACAAAAATCTCAGTCGAGGTGCAACTCATAAGGCGGTTAAATTATCCGCGACTGTGGTTTTGTATTAGGTAATTATTTCAATAACCTACAATATTCGTTTAACAATTTATTAATAATAATAAAAAATTAAGAATTCAGCCATTCTACAAATCGGCTAAAAAGCTTAACTGCTATTTTAATAACTCTATCCCAAAAACTTGGTTCATCTTCTTGTGCTGAGTTTGGATAGTCATCATCAGTATCAAAAGATTCTACTTGTCGTTCATGGTCTAAGGTTTCTGCTTGCCGCTTTTCTCTTAATTTACCTGTAAAAAACAGAACAGATATTTATACTTAAGCCGGTTATAGTAGGTATTTTGTAGTAGGGTGATGTTAGTATGTACCATATGAGGGTACTTTTTTGGTTTACGAGGTGTTATTTCTGTTGCAATCGATTCCATAGAACATGGTATGTTATTTTGCTCGCGGTGTGTAATTGTGTACCAGCTTGATGTTGCGAACTTGTGAGCATCACACACTGCGACACTTTGAAGAAGTCGTCGACTTTTTCGATCGATAATCTTAATTGTTAAATTAAAAGTTACGTTAGCATTAACAATAAGTGCTTCAACTTTTTAGAGTAAAATCTGAACATGTCTATCGGTCGCGTCTTCATCAAGATATACAGTACTAGGGAATGCAATCTCGCGAGATTGGGACTCGGGCAAGATCTCGCGAGCTTATAAATATCAATACCTCACCAATTACGAGATCTCGCGAGATTGGCACTTTTGTGTGTTTACTGTTTTGCTGTAATAATTATTCAAATCTCAACATTTTGGATAAATTAAGAAAAAATATAGGTATTATGCAATATATATTTATTTTACGGGTATTTTCAATAAAGTTTTATGTAGGTATTTAACATTGATTGAAGCAATTATATTTTTTTTTATTTAAAACCTTTAAAAGAACAATTACTGTATCATAATCTCGGAAACGGTTTCAACAATTTTCATGAGATGAAGTATACAGGAGCTTTCAGAGGCCATAAATCGATTTAGTTGGGTAAAAAAAAAGACCGAGATCTCGCGAGAACGAGATTGCATTCCCTAGGCAGTACGTGACCTGAATGAATTTGTCTTCCTACCTAGGCCACTAGGATAAATCCGGACAATCTAGTACCGATAATAAGGTAAATCTGCCTATAACAGCAACTATGCTTCATTTATTGCTGTATTAATGTATTTAAAATAAAAAAATACGATTTTCTTACCAATACGTCTATGGTGGATGGACTTTTATATATGTTTATAAAAAATATCTACTAGGGCTTTTCCTATAGGTATAGATTGAATCAAATAGAGATATTGGACATGCAATAGGCTTCATTTGATAACGCAACTAGTATTTTGTTTTGCAATTAATTTCAGCATAAGTTTTTTGGTATCTGGTTTCACGCCCTGGTTCCGAGTGCTTAGGTGAGTAGTTAGCCATAAACATTAGGTAGTATCGGTAGGGGTAGGTCTCAACCCCTTTTGAGCAGCTCATTGGTGTTACCATTGAGTAGGTCCCAGGCCCGGATCTACAAGTTTTTCCAACCCAGGCAGTTAATGGGAAAAAAAATCTCACTAACCCGACGATCAAACTAATGAATCGAACTAGTGAGATCAAAGGAGAAAGTTGATATTACGCGTTTACACCTCCTGCCCCACGCATATTTTTTTTATTGTATTACTTATATTATCATAGTTTTGGCGCCCCCATCTCACACATCCCTGGCGTCCCTTCGAGCGTCAGGGACAGTGTGTTTACGCGTTCTTCTAAGGTCAAAAATGTATTAGGTACGTTGTAAATATGGTGGTGCTGTTAGTTATGAGACCAACTTGAATCTTAATTAAACTGCATTCGCAAGAAAATATTTATGCGGGCAGTACAGCGGTAGATAAACTTATGATTATATACCTACTCACCATGTGTGATTTCCGTTTCATCAGTGACCTGAAAAAAAAAGCAATTTTATCAATCGTTAAAAGAAACGTTATTAGTGCAGATTTTACAATGGTGATCACTCTCATAATAATTCCTAATAAATTATTCCGTTTCATTAGCATCAACATAATTCTGTTTCAATATAGAAAATCTTAACAATAAGATAATTTTGTATAGAATAGACACTTTTGTATTATTCAAGAAAAATATTTAGTCGTAAATTTTATGAGTCTTTGTGTTATTCTATTGAGTCAACTAGGTTTAGTTGTTGATTAACAATATAAGATTCATTATGTTTAAAACTTTGTTTAATTTAAGTTTATAATAAATAAACGTTAATTTAATAGATAATGTCCTTAGATTAAATAAATGCACCTAATTATAATTTAAAGAACTTCTAATACATAACTAAAAAGTTAAATGGTGCTTACGTAATGGCCCGTTGAATTTGAAATAAGAATTGCCAAGAAAATGAATAATAACATCACACACAAACTGATTGGTCTCATGTCTCCGTTTGCTGTTATGGCTTTGACTCCCCATGACTATGAACTTGGGTTTTATATGAGGGCGTGGCTTTGCGCGATTGTAGCGGAAATGATGGTTAGTAATCACAGATCGAACAAGTGTTTAAATGGCCCTTGGCTGGGCAATTTATGGTTTCTGCATTTTGCATTGTTGCAATAGTAAATA